CAGACGAGTTAAACAAAAATAAGGCAAAAAGCACAAGTAAGTGCATTTAACCGTTATGAGTAAACGTGGATACTATTTTGACACTATATATTTGAATTAGCAGGGTATTTTAAGAGTAAATTTTTGAGAAAGTATCCCACTGGTATTTTTTGCGCTCAATCTGGGAATCACTGCTACCCCTAAGAAAGGAAGTGTGAAATATTATTTTTATGATATTAGATCTTGGACGAGATGAGCAGGCAAGTTTATCAAGGGTGAGCATGGAGTCCAATATCATGGACGCAATGCTACATAATCTTCATAAATCATCAATAAGAAAGAATTACAGGAAAAGAGACATGGCAACAAAGGCAGGTTTGGGTTTGTTATAAGTTTTTTCTGGGCAAAAGTCTGTAGACATAACACGATGAGGTACAAAGTCCCCGAATAGATAACTATTGCTGCAGAGATGATCATGTCCAGCATACTTCGAAGATTGAAGGCAAAATAAAACTTTCTTACACCTTCCCACCATTCTGCCTCCTGTGAATCGGCCAGAAAACGACTCTAAGAGATATACGGTGATGGTAAAATTATTAGAACAAAATCTTGGAGATATATTTTTTCGCGGAATTTTTACAATTAAATTTCGATCGAAATTTTCCGATTCGACATCGACTGTTTAATACTTTTAACCGTAAGGTGGGGCTCTTGGTGAAGAGACTCACAGTATGGGGGAAAACGGTTCATGTAACGTCATCTAACTTCCACGATAAAAGGGCAAGGACTCTTTAACTTCTGGACGTGAAAACTTGGAATTTAGGCTAATCTCCGCTGGGAAGACTAGGACAGTAGAACTAATCATATTCCTAGCTAATTTTGGCATTTGTGCCTTTAAGATGGTAGGATCAACCATATTTCCGGTTCAAGTCCAATTCCTATCAATTTGAATATAGCTAAAGGTGAAATTTGAAGGTAGATGTAAAATCTACCGACCTCTTTTTTTCGTGTTCATTCATTTTTCAGGCATCTGAAATTTGACCATTAAAAGATAAAACTGACCCATTTCAATGGTAACGTCACGGCTGAAGCATTGAGCACGGTCACGTGTGCTTTTTCCCACACGAGTGACGTCACATTCAGCGTCATGCTAAGGATACACGCCGTATGGTTCAGACGTCTCCCAACTTCTTTCGCTCGGAAACCGATTGTCTACAAAACTAAAGGAGTTTTTCTTCGAAATTTCTAAGGAAATATTTCCTGATTTCAAGCGTATCAAAAAATTTCAAGTGAAAACATTTGTAATTTAACTCAGACAAAGTAAACTCAAATTTGAAGAGTCCGTATTTGAATTAAAAAAAAAAAAAAAACAATTAATTTTGAAATAAGTCGTCGATTTTTTTCCTGACTTCAAAGGAAGAAATTCCTCTACCACAATTGGACACGAAAACCTCTCGCTCAAGCTGTCCTTCCTGAAAATGACATATTTCTCTGAACTCTGGCAAAATTCCCTGACTTACAGCAAAAATATCATATCGAAGCGACTTAAAAAACAACCAATTTCTTATCTTACGGTTTATTCTTACGCACAGTTAGTAGCTCAGCAGGTTACAATGCCACCTCAAAGGCAACGGTTGATGGAAGTGGTCAGAGACTAACGTAAGAACCAAGACAGTTCTGTTTATAGGTGATCTATTCCGACAAAAACGCGAGAACAAAAAAAAATGGCACTCCGCGTCACGCGGAAACGGTGATAAAAATGTCGTCCGTTAGAAATATAGCCGCGACGAATATTTACGGTCAAACTAGTTTTACCTACTGCCGAAACTATACCGGACGAGGAAAAGCAAAAACCAAGTACAATGCAACGAATTTTTTCCTTCCTGAATGCTACAGCTTCAGCCACTGCCTTGCCAGGATTCGCAGGTTTCGTCTCTCCTCCATACTTATTTTTTTTAATTGGTTTAATGGTCAGTGTCAGTGTGCTATCTACGGGCGCCTAGAGCACGCGGTCCACCAAAAAGCAGCGATGCCACTTCGTCACACTAAATATGCTGAAATCGCGGGAAATCAATCAAAGCGGACGTAAGTTGACAACACGGCAAAGAACGGGGTTGCCGAAGTGACAGGTGTTTCGCAGAGACAAGTGTTTCGACTCGGCAAGCCGTTGAACGACTTTGAAGAGCCGACTTCTGTCCGTTCAATTAAATCTTACGTCACCAAATCGCAAGTCGGTTCTCACGACTGAAGATTTCAGTTCTCTGAAACAAAGAGTACTAGTTCGTCAAGTTTAGGTTTTTTGTTGAACAAAAACTTCGGTTACGAGGGTCAATGTATTTTGGCTGACTATCTTTTCCGCACAAAGTGCATTTGTGGTAATTTTTCCGATTATCATTGCCGCACAAAATCATTTTCGCACAAATCATTTGCTGTACTATGTGGCAACGTCGAGAAAAATATGAGGCATATTTAAGAAAAATGAGTGAACAAAGATTGAAAAAATTATGTATAAAAATATGTAATAATTTTCCTACTACAGTCTTTATTTCAGGATCTATCACGCAAGTTGCGTAGCAACTTTTATCGACGGATCATCGCCAAACGAATCCTTTTTTTTTTTTAAAGTAAAAAAAAAAACAAAAAAAACGATGTTTTTGTGGTGTCTATTTACCGTGCGATGTTGTCAGATCTTTGAGATCTGATTTGTGCGAAAATGATTTTGTGCGGCAACGATAATCGGAAAAATTACCACAAATGTACTTAGTGCGAAAAAGATATTCTGCCATATATTGGGGTTCCATACAAATATGAACCAAAACTTCTTTCTCCATTTAACGGTAAACGGGACTCGACCCATTTTAGAATAATAGAAACTTTTCAGGACAATGATGGAAACTTTCGTAGCCAGAGTACGGACACTGCAACACTGGAAGATTCGTTTCTGATTCGCTCAGCAACTTAGGCTCACTGAAAAAAGAATTTGCGGACTATATAGACATACCGTCCGCGTCCCGGACTCAGAGACTGAAAGTTCTGGGCATAGCATCCGGAGTAGTCGAGGCTACGACTCCAGTACTCGGAACTTTCGGGTTCTGAGCCCGAAACGGACAGTAGGTACGTCCATATAGCCCGTAACTTCTTTTTTCGGTGAACATAAGTTGCTGAGCGAATCAGAAACGAATCTTTGAATGCGGACGGTGTGTCTATAAAGCCCGTGAGCGTAAGTACGGCTTCCCACGGCCGGAGTTTTTTTTTCTTTTTTTTTTCAGTGCTTTATTAAGCTCTTAAGATCCAAAACATGGCGGACATTGCAGATGATTAAAAATGCCAGAAAATAAGATTTTTGCTTGGATCATGGTGAACTTTACTCAAATTATACACAGTTGACGGTATTTAATGTTTCGTGCATTACTTTTGAAAAAATCTCTTCAACTTGAACGAACAATGAGCCAAAGTAGGTAATAGGTGGAACCAGTAATAAACGTTGGGAGTTATCACGAACTCGAGTAGGTCACTCGACCACTCTTACCAAGATTCGTCACCATTTGCATTTTTTCTAAGGGGTCCTTCATAAAATACGTGACGTCGTTGCGGGCACGTTACGGGAAGAAAAGGCATTCAATGCTACCTTACCTGATAATAGTACACCCGTTGTGCAAATTTTTCAGAAATCAATGACGGAAATTTAACGCAAGGCGACAATTTTTCATCCGATGATCATCATAAACGCAAATGATGATCATTTCAACAAACAATGATGATCAACATCAATGATCATCATAAGTTGAGGAGAGGAAGGGGTCGGAAAAAGCGGTACGTAACTTATCAAGGAGGAGTAAAAAAAAATCCGACTTTCAGCGTTACGTATTTTACGAGCGGCCCCTAAGGGTATCGGTGAAACCTAGTGGTCATACTCTCCCTCCGACTTTCGCAAAACAATTTTTAATGTCTAAGAGCTCGCCGCTTGTGCGGGCAGAGCCGAAACAGACGCGGAGGGACGGACATCTTTCAAAAAAGGGATGGACACCCAGTGATATTAAGGCAGATCTCTTTGAAGATTGTAGTGTCTGTGAGCAGTTTTTAGATATCACCTTGTATTGGCTGACGCATATAAAAAAAAATAAAATACAATAAAATAAAAAAAGCTTGGCTAATCTAGTCGCAGAGGGATCGACCAGTGTCTAGTCTATCTCCATTAGGGTACTTTGTAGACTAATTTAGTGGCCATGTCATTCGATATATTATCGAACCCTTCCTTGGTTAAAATGTAAACAAACTCAGAGCCTTGTTTTTGATTCGCGCTATTTCGCGCTCATTCGCGCTCTTTGACCCTGGTGGTGAAATGCGTCCAAGTGTTTCTTACAATCGAGAGTTCGCGTGTTTATGAATCTTTAATTGATTTATGACCGGCCAGTGACTAAATTTTGATAAATTAGCACAATGAACTCATGAATAATTCCAGAGACAAGAAACCCTCCACTGGCCTCTGGGCGACAGGTGGAAGCTTTTTCTTTCGGGGACTCAACACTTCCCTACACTTCCTTATGGGCAATTATAAGGGAGCAACAGTCATCACCCTAATTTCGGCTGTTGACCTACCTATATGGTGGATGATGAGCTTCGGGTGACGTCATGAGCCAAACAAGTTTCCCAAACTTGGGCCATTTTCGGCTTGTTTGCAAAACGAAACGGCCAACACGTTGTTGAACATGAACCATGTAGGTAAGTTAACAGTAGAATGCTCAAGTCCCGAAAGTAAGAGCTTCCACCATGGCCAAGATACTAGTGGAGCGGGTCTCTTTCTGAAGAATTCACACATGAGGTTATGTTAGTTTGTTTTGGTTTGGACCAAGAGTTGGATGTTATATCGAATTACGTAGTCACTAAATGAGTTTAATTCATGAATATTCAAGGGTACGAGTTGACAACGTACGAGGATAGATAGAGATAAACGGTTGGTCCGACTCAAGGAGATCCGGCGAGGAAGCGCGGCCCGACTGGACTGAAGAAGCGAGTAATTATTACGGAGCTTAACCGCGACCGCGCCTCGCGGAGTCAGTGCCACCTCCAGTTGTCGCTCAAGCGCCACGCCAATCCACAGTGTACCACAGTGCGTAAACGTGCTCCCAACGTAAACAAATTAATTCACAAAACAAAATTGGAAATACTTTCAGTAAGTGTACGTTTTTATTCTGCCGAGTTGTTTTGGAAATCATCCTCATTTCCAGCTCAAAACTACTTGCTGGGGGATTTTTCACCGTCGCCTCAAGTGATTAGTTGTTTTTGGTGTCTTGTTTGGTTCTATTTATATTTCATTATATTAAGTTAAGCCAAACTAATAAATTTCAAAATTATGATAAAATTCAAGTGGAGGCTAGGCTTTAAAGTTGGCGTGAAAATTTAACAACAGTAGAGTTTTGATTATCCACGCTTCGAACGTCCGCGATATGGTTTATCCGCGGTTTTTGCTTTTTGTAAACAAAGTTTATGTATATTATTATTTAACGTCGTCTAAGGTAAAATTTATCCATTTCTAAGTAGTAATTGCATTTCTGTCGAATATTTGAAAAGTGTTTCAATATAGATACATTTATCATTCAGTCTTTTCGATCATATTCACTAGCCGAATAACTTTGTTTCGATTATCCGCGCTTCCATGTTCGGGGCATGGTGTATCCGCACTTTTTTCGGCGCTTTTTTTTTAAAAGGTGTGCGTATTCATTATTTGACGTCCTCTGAAATAAAATGAGCTCAGTTTTAACTGTTAATTACAGCTCTCACCAATATTTTACAAGTGCTTCGAGTATGATTTAAAATACAGTCTTTCCTATCATTTTTACAGACCAAATGACTTCGTTTCGCATTATCCGCGATATTCCATTATTCGCAGTAGTCGAGACTCTACTTAATTATTTTTCAGTAGAAATTATGATTGCTCTCACCTTCGGCTATTTTTCGAGGGAAAGATTGAAGTGGTTCGCATGTTTGTCGATCAGATATAATCCCTTGAAGTGGAGGCTAAAATTTATTTAAGTTGTCACATACATTTAAATATTATATGTCAGTAGGTAATACTTTCACCGGTGTCGGTTAGTTTTAGGAGGAAAAATTTCAAGTGTTTCGTTGATGATTCGTTCAGATGAAAGTGACGAATTACAGTGACGGAAATTCGAACTATTTTTCTTTATCAGAGGCTTGCACCTTCACCGTCGACGATTTTTTCGGGAAAAAATTCAAGTGGTCCACAAGTCTGTAACTTGCGTATGATCTGTTGAAGTGGAGCAAGTCAAGAATCGAAGTTGTCACGGAAATTCAACTTCTATTTTTTAGTAACGCCCTTCGTTAGTAATTCAGTGAAGTAGTTCCAGTGAAGTTGTCACGAATATTGAAATTACTTCTCATTAGAGGAAGCTGACAGTGGCATTAAGCTAAAAAATTAGAGGAAGCAGAATCGACAATAAGGGGGCATTGGTTACGCACGGGCTATTTCGCCTTCAATTTTTGAGGTAGATCAAAAAGTATCCTCCGCTTCAAAAATTCAAGTAGCCAATAACAATTATTATAATTTTCACCTGTTATTACTCACGGGCGTCCGTAATATCACGAGTATATTACAGATTTTGTTTCAAATTCTCAGTGTTGTTTATTATTTTTCCGTCAAATTGAGTTTTCGGAGACTCTACGATTTATCCTGCTTTCCCAATCACAAGGAGGAATCTTTTACCTAGTTTAAATTTCAGGATTTTGCGTTGAAAATTTTTAGAGCAGACTTTAATGAGAAAAGCTGTCGCAAAAAATTTGGAATCTTTTTCTGTCTATGTATCTACACGAACAGACTTCAGACAAAAAATCATTTAGCTTCGCTCGAAGATTTGCTCTGCTCCAAAAGACGAGAGATTTCTCACTTTTTCAACAGCGGTCGATCAACGTGATTAAAAAGAGGGAACAGTTTCTATTGTTGATTTTTTTGGCCTCTTAGTCCTCAATTTTTCTTCCGGATGGTGTAAAAAAACCATTAAGCAAAATTTCTATTCAGGATTTGCTAAATCTTGACTCAAACGGTTGTGAAAACTCGTGAGATGCTAAAAAAAATCGAGCGAGATCCATGACTTTTCTGCTGAATGAGTTATTCATTTTGTAAGATGTCACACGATAGCCTTTATTGTTTTAATTTTTTCTATCCGCCGATGTGTTTTCGTTTGAACTGCTTTTTTTTTTCTTAACTGACCGTTTCCGTCGGTGTATTCTAATTCTAACATACATACATGAAGTAGACATTGTGATGGAAACAATAAAAAACCAGGTGCGGTATCTTCCAGCCTCTTTCACAAACCTCCCTGAGGATTAGAGGTGGGAGGGGGGGGGCGAGGGGAGAGAATTTTACCTTTAGGGAAGAGTTACCAGCCCTGTAAACATCTTGGTATAAAGGATGCAGGCTTCCACTGCTGGTGTTCAAACCGTACACATAGAGGAAACTTAAGAACAGTTTTCGTTTCAAATGTGTCATACCAAAGAAAAACTTCAGCTACGCCACTAAAATCCGAGGATTCCTTTCACTCTGAATTGGACTCAACTTCGAATATAGTAATGCGTCTAAAACGCGCTTTCAAAGTTAAAATTAGGAGACATACGAGGATAGGAATGATAAGCCACATCAAGTAATATTCGTTTTTAACTTACTACTTTCTCCGTTCACGAGGGCGTTTCATCACGTTTTCCAACTTTTCATTCGCCGCCTAATTAGATCTAGATAGTAGTCACGTGCGAGGAAAATATTCACGAGACTTTTCCTAGATCCATTGTCAGCTTAAAGGCAAAAGAAACACTTCAAGGAATACGACGGAGCGAAATTTACTCGGATATACTGGACGATGGAATTTGGCTACATCTCGTTGGTCTCGAAAATGAGGGCTTACCAAACTTTATGCTAATCTCTTAAAATAAGTGTCTATTTCTTGCGATTTCTCCTTTGAGTAAAATGTCATATTACATCGAATATTGAAGCAAGTTTCAGACTTTTTAAACAACACCCGTGATGAAAGAAAATAGCACGATCCCAGGGAAAAGAGAATCCTCATTGTTAGATTGAATTATATTTTTCTAATTGTAATTAAGCAATTAAATTCGATAAATCAAGATGATTCTGCAATCCAGGGGGGAGGGGGGGGGGCTGACTGGACGCGCTGACGGAGGGAAACTAAGTATTTTGTCATATTTTGGTCGTCACAAAGGAAAGCTTCCTTGGCCTTCTAAAAATTTTCTAGCGGTGATCCTTTAATCTCATAACACGTTTTCTTCACGGCAGAGGCAATTTTCCTCGTCCTAGTAGGTTGTTTTTCTAGGAAAAGGTACCTGACATAATAACGAATGACTCCAAAACTGCAACGAGTTTTAACTGACTTAATATCAGACTGATTTCCGCGCCAGAATTTACACGTATATTTCTAATTTTGTGAGTAATTTTTACGAATCCGAACTGCTGAAAAAGTCCTTGATTTTTATTTCGTAAACTGAGGAGAATTTACGCACAGCGACTCACAGCGCCGAGTTAAATGTTAGTCTTGACAAGAAAATATTATATTAACATTTTATTAAAAAGTTACCCCCCCTCCCCCCGATGTCCTGGTTTTGATTTAATGTTTTGTTGTTGTTTGAACAGAACATCAAAGCTAGGACATCAGGGGGAAAATGTGACTTTTTTCCATAAAACATATAAACATGAACCCTGATAAAAATGAACAACTTAAGAGATTAAGAACAAATTACTTGGCCTGCTAAAAAAAGGGAATTATTATTCGATCTTAAGATACATTTTCATTACGGCAGTGACAATTTCCCTCGTCTTAGGAGGCTGTTACACAGGCTCAGTGTAAGTGCCTGACGTAATTACGAACGACCCGAAAACTGCAGCTGGTTTAATAGACTGAAATCAGGCTAATTTCCGCTAGGGATTGGTAAGTTCCGACGACGACGGGAGGACATAATCTGGCCGCAGGATGGATTTCTCACGAGGCGCGTTGCGAAAGAAAAGCTCGGGCACAGCACAGCGCAAGGCGTAAGGGCGAACGTAGACGATGAGTTTTGCGTGAGCATGGCGCCCAGGACAATGCAACGTGCCTTTCGTCGATGCAATACCGCGCGCAATTAAGTGAACTGACGAACCTGGGTGCCTTGATTGGAGACCGCACCACACGCGCCACTATAAATTGATTCTCTAGTAAGGCAGATCTCCAAGGATGCCACGTTCGATGAGCACATACGGAAAAGTCATGACTCAGGCTTTCTTCAATTTCTTCATTTTATTATTCCTTGAATTTTCCCTGGATTCTTTCTGATTTTTCCTAGGGTCCCTTTAGACCCAGAGTTAAGACGTCTCCATTGTCAGCTGGCCTGGGCTGGCTATGGTGTCACAAAAGTGGGCACCTAAATCAACGATATTGAGGGATAAGGATGAGGAATCCTGCCATGTCTGTCATCCAAAAACAACAACATCAACAAAACTGATCAAAACCTAACAAAAAAAATTGCAATGAAATAAAATGAGATGGATTTGTGAATAATTTTTTAATCTATTTTCATTTTGGTGCGATGAAAATAACAATTCACTCTTGATAAATCACAATTGGGTTATTTTTCCATTACTTTTGTTTACATTCGAGCCACCGCCATCTTGATGCACTCTTTAGTGACTCTATGAGCGAGAACCAATCAGAATGGGATTTTTATTTAGGCCACTTTCAGCCGAACCAGAGCCCAACCACGCCCGACCAGAATTGATAAGTCGTAACCATGGGTATAAGGGGACTCGATTTTTTCCTGACTCTAAAATTCCTGAAATCCCTGAGTTTCTCTGGCATTTGAACCAAATTTCCGCTCAGAATTTTTTGCTTTATTTCGCTGACTTACACTAAACTTTGCACATAATACCCAGTTATAGACTTTCAAATCATACAAAAATGCACTCGGAGGTTGTTCGCGCTTTCTCGAATATCACTGGCTGAAGTTCAACCTTTTTAAAGCTTTACCTATAGTTGAACTCGCGAAGTTCCCTGACGATCCCCATTTTGCCAAGTATTCCAGACCGTCGCGCCGGGAATCCTGAAATAATGATATACAAAGCGAGAGACTTCGGTTAAAAACATCCGAACTTTGATTGCAGAGAAACGAGAAACA